ATCAAAGCCGGAACTAATCGAGCCATTTGTGCCAGTCTGGGGAGAAAGGTATTTTAATAATGTAAATTATGTGAAAAATAATGCGTTTTTCGAACCACCAAGCATGAGAGCATGTTCTAGTACACCCCCAAAACAAAATCAAGACTTTGTAAAAGAGCATAATAGGACCCCTTTAATGTCGCAAATTTCCCCTGCGTATTAAAAAGTTATGTATCATATTCATTACAGTAGCATACATCAGATGAACATGATAAACATCTTATGGACAAGATCCTCAACATATGCATTTCAAATGACAAAGTGCTCACAAAATCTCAATTAAGATTAATGATTTGTATACATTAATTCACCTTGTACATTTACCGTTTATGTAATTATGTTGTTTTATTGTTTTTATTCGTACAGTAGGCTAACTGCAAATGTTTCAACAATGATTTCATTAACAGCATGCATTTTGAAGCAGTTAATGATTTAAATGTTGGTTAAATTGATAATTATTTAAACATACATAACATAACATTTTACTCCTATGCAAACTGAAATGCTTGTAAATCGCCATAGAATTTGCACAATCTTGAAGAGTCTGAAATAGATATTGCTCCATCACAGGCACGTACACAGGCAGGGCTCAACCTGTGCAGAGCACATGTACGGAGCACAGGCTTACAACAGCTTACCACCCACAGACAAATGCTACGGAAAGAGTAAACCGAACACTGAAAACGGCCATTAGGGCATACAGTATGTTGGAACCAAGCATACTTCCTGGGATCGTTTTCTCCCCCACATTTGTTTTGCCTTGCGGACAGCTCAACATGACAGTACGGGACTGAGTCCATCGATGGTGTTGTATGGCCGTGAACTGGACACGCCTTTGGATCTGCTTTCTCAGCCGGATGTTTTTGGTGTGGAAGATCCAGGGGTGACTTCTTTGGATGCCCTGAAGCATTTGCTCCAGGAGGCATCTGATCATGTATATATATATATATATATATATACATACATACACAGTATAAGTATATTTTAAACTAAATCTAGTTCCTACATTATTTTTCTATACATTGACTCACTGGGTCTCTAACCTGCAATATGCACTTTAATCAGAGAAATAACACTGACTACATATGCTACGGACTTAAGGCCAATTCACACAGCACAGACAAATGCCAACAAACTCCAACAGCCAAGTCTGTCGGAGTTTGTTGGATCAGTGTGTTACTTACATTTCTGGTGGTTTCACAGCCGAATGCCAGTTTAGAACACAATGAGCAATCCAGTCATTATATAGATCAGTGGGTTGGATAGTGTGCACCACTGAGTTTGAGACACAGACAAACATAAGTGCTAATAAACAATATATTACCACCGTTTCTCTTCTGCTGATGCACTGAACAGCCATATTGGATTCTGAAGTTGGAGTTGTTGCGATTCCTCCAAGATTCCGAGTCGGAACTCCGACTTGGGAGGGCATTCCAGTTAAAATTTCTTACTGGGAACTCAGAATTTCCAACTTCCGAGTACAAATGGAACGCAGCATTACTCTCTTCTCTGTGACCAGCGTATCAGAAACAGAAAGTAGAGTAGCCTGCTGTGTTTACAAGGGTAACTCTGGAAACCTCTGAATTACTGCTGTTCCATAAGTGCCACCTACTGTCAGAGACTGAATTTACATTTTCATTTGGTGTCTGTTTGCTCATTCCATCATGCTCCTTGTCCATGTTGGGGTTATTCACAGCATATGCAAGCCTCTTTTACACGGCATACAGGCAGTGTTGATAAACTGAACCGGTAGGAAGAGTAGGGAGATAGCGGAAGAGAGCGCAGAAAAACGCTAAAGCATGAAGTATGAGGTCGGCTTTGCGCATGCGCCGCTCAGAAGTGACGAGATCAAAACAAAACAAGGGTCAAGAATTAGAAGTACAAAACGAGGATTTGTAAAGAAGAATGTCAGAGGATTTCGATATAAGCCAAGAGGAGACCGGTTTTCCTTTGCTAAAGTAAGGGAACTTTGCTTCCTTTGATCCTGTAAACAAACGTTGGTTTTCAGGAGACTCACCGGCACATGCGGTCTAAACAAAAGGAAACTTAAACTTAAATGGTTCATGCAATAATGTGTTAAATTACCCACCATATTCCTGCCTAAATTTAACATCTGCACTGGACAAAATATTTAGCACTGCCTTTTATGCTTAACATGAACAAGAAAAAGATATTCATTTAAAATATGAAATAAATGCCATAAAAACCATTAAATTTAACTTTCTCATGCATGTCAACACATTGTTACAACACTAATTGTATGTTTTAAAACAAATTATAAGTAAACTGTTTGTGTTTCTTGAAAATTATTGCTTCAATTAATTTTTTGCCAGATAGAACCTTATAATTCCAAGCGAAAAGTGTTTTTTTTAGAATTAGAAGGTTCTATCTGACCCATTCCAGAAATCCCCATTTAGAAATTTGAGAGGATTTTGATATTGTACATTTAGAATACAATTAAGGTCCCTGTCATTTTCATGTTTTAAAGAAACTTGTTCCCCATATAATTTTTGCTATATGGAATGCAAAAACTTTGAAGCTCAATATCTCAAAACTGGTCAGAATGCAGATAGAACCGTATAATTCCAAGGTGACGACTTGTGATAGTAGGCAGTGCTGGGTAAATTACTTGTAATTAATTGAAGTACATTACTGATTACAAATTACATGACAGAAATTACAGTTTGTAACGTAATCTGTTGGATTACATGTATTAGGAAATGTATTCTGATTACTTTTAGATTACATTTGACAAAATATATTCCATTCTTTGTTATCAACATCATTAAGTGTATTGAACATTAAGTTATAGGTTTCCCAAACTGGGGTTCATATATGAACTACAGGGGGATTGTGAGTTGATAAAAAGCTGGAAGACTTTCTAAATGTATAAAACCGGTAGAATTTTAGAAAGGAAAATTTAATAGAAAAAAAGAATTGTAGCAAATCAAATTATGAATAATTTACTGCCATTGAGTGAATAATATGGAATAATGTAATCTATAAAAAGTACCTGTAATCTGATTATGAGCATTTTAAAATGTAAAATGATCTAATTACAAGTACTTACATTTTTGGAATCTGATTACGTAATCCAGATTACATGTAATGAGTTACTACCCAGCACTTATAGGCTAATGGTCACATGCATAAACCTTTGCACGAGTTGTCAGTCAAATACTATTCAAGGTCGTCAGTTGATGTCTCTTGTTATATCGTGTCACTAACTGTTTGTGTTTCTTGAAAATTATTGCTTCAGTTAATTTTTTGCCAAATAGAACCTTTTAATTCCAAGCGAAAAGTGTTTTTTTTAGAATTAGAAGGTTCTATCTGACCCATTCCAGAAATCCCCATTTAGAAATTTGAGAGGATTTTGATATTGTACATTTAGAATACAATTAAGGTCCCTGTCATTTTCATGTTTTAAAGAAACTTGTTCCCCATATAATTTTTGCTATATGGAATGCAAAAACTTTGAAGCTCAATACCTCAAAACTGCTCAGAACGCAGATAGAACCTTATAATTCCAAGGTGACGAATTGTGAATCTTAATATTTTCTTATTATTTTACGCCAGATCAGCATCAAACTCAAGCATTCTCAAACTCAAGAATAAGATTTAATATAATAAACAACAATACTTCAATGAATTGAACACAATATTATTTTTTACGAAAAAAACAAACAAACCAAAAAACAAAACAATTGCATATAATCTCTCAGATTAATATGATAAAAATTCTAATATTTTTTCCGGGAGAAACGTAAAAAAACAAAACAAAGTCCATTAATGTAGTTTCTGAGTACAAACATTTGTGAATCTTAATAAATATATTTAAAAAAAAACTAAAAAAAAAACTGCATGTCTGTGTAGTGTATAGAACAGGCTGTATTTTAAAATGTAATTATGGTACAATTCCTGACACCTCAGATCTCACCTGAGCTCATCATAATGCATTCTGGGATCGATTTATACCAAATTTGGCCAAAACACGGTATCTTTTAGGCGTGATTATGGTATCTTTAAGCAATAGTTCACCCAAAAATGAAAATTCCTTTATCATTGATTCACCCTCATGTCGTTCTGAACCTGTGTGAGTCTTTCTTCTGCTGAGCATAAGAGCATAAGATATTTTGAAAAACGCTGGTAACCAAACAGTATTTGGTCCATAGTATGACAAAAAAAATACAATGGAAGTCAATGTGAACCAGCAACTGTTTGTCCACATTCTTCAAAATACCTTCATTTGTGTTCAACAGAAGAAAGAACATGTAGAGGTTTGTAGCAACTTGAGGATGAGTAAATGACAGAACTTTCATTTTTAGTTGAACTGTCCCTTTAAATGGTGTTTTCACAGGCAGCTGACTAGAGTTAACAGGTTTATATGTGATGTTCCATATTCTAGACCGGGGCTGGGCAACTTTGGACCTGGAGGGCCACTGTCCTGCAGAGTTTAGCTGAACCTTAATCAAACACACCTGCCTGTAGGTTTCTAGTGATCTTGAAGACATTAGCTGTGTCCCACAGTTGAGTGTGCACACTTCGAAGGCCACGGACTTCGAAGACCAGGCCTCCGAATTGCACGAAGGACACTCCGCCTTCGCAGGATTTCCTAATTGCGACACTAGAGGTTCCCGATTAGCACTCAGTCGCTGATATCTTACAAAGGTGCAATTTTATATAGTTTATTGTCTTGACCATGGTGATCATACAGGTTTGAAACCCGGATTTTTTAGGCAGTTAAGCATAAAAATAAAACTGTGAATAAAAAAATAGAGCATTGTACAGCTCAATGTTCAGCGGCAGCTGTCACAGCTGAACAGTGCTCTGTTTGACCGGTCCGAGTCCTTCAGATGCAGCCTTTGATATAGTTAGCAAAAATGTGTTAATATTCTGACAAAATGTTGATACTTTCATTTTCAAAATAATCAATACTTACATTTCAATGTGAATTCCCCCACAGAACTCTCACCAGCTGTTCTTTGAATATAAACACCGTCGTCATCTACGCGCAAGTGATTCTGGGATATGGTAGGGTGCGAAGTGTCCATCAGATGTACACTTCATTTTCCTGGGAAACAGAGGGCGCATTTGACGTCGCTTTCGAAATGTGTCAGCCATCGTCGCGCCGCAGTGACGCAATCGGCCTTGGAATGCGGTCTTCGGAGTCCACGCACTTCAGTTTGGGACACAGCTATTGATTAGCTTGTTCAGGTGTGTTTGATTAGGGTTGGAGCTAAACTCTGCAGGACAGTGGCCCACCAGGAACGAAGTTGGCCAGCTCTGTTCTAGACTGAACAGCTGAATCCACGAATGTGAGTGCAGCTCACTGGAAACTCTAGAGCTGTCAAGAGGGGAATGCTTCTCTCGTTAAATGAAACCTCATTATGCAGCGCATATAAATTCCGCATAGATTTGCATATTCTCCTCCATCTGTTTCCGAGTGACAGAAGCACTGTTTAATTAACGCACTGCACTGATCTCTCGAGCGCCTCCAGTGATAACAAACACCGGTGCCATGGAAACGATGGCCACTGTGTTTAACAGCCTCATGTAAATGTGTGTAATCTCACCGTACGTCCTGTGTGCTTCACGTACCTGTTGGAGCAGCGCTTGTGCCTGAACATTGCTGATTGCACTTGTTGCTTGTCCATTTGATTTGTGGGCATTCAGACCGTTGGCCTGATCTCCTGCTGGACAGACAGATGAGAGTCAATCAATTAGCAACAGTGAGACAAACGTATACGTTATGAGTCAAAACATCATAGCTCACCTCCTTGTGCTCCGTTCTCCATGCTGCTTTTACTTAGATCTGCTGGGCGGCCGCTGGAATCTGTTCAGAGAGAAAACATGTGAAGAACCAGTGCAGCTCTTTCCAACTATTCAACATTTACAAAATCTGCTGATATCATCGCCTGAACAATTCTATTGATTAATTTGAATGTAATGTTTTGCCATAATTTCATTTTTTTCATGATTTCATCAGAGTTTTGAATAAAAATATAAGCAGTGAGATGTTACAACATATCACTAGTCCTGAGTGGCGATTCACACAGAATGAGTTTGTGCTGAAAAGCACGAGACGCTGCAGTGAAACAGGAAAAATACAAGGTTATGAGATGCCAGTTGAACTTTTTAACTCTAGCACCGCGTTTTTAGAATGCCATTTCATGTGGGAGATTCTGCAAAAGATGCAAGACACGAGTGCAATGGTCAAACATGTCCGCCAAGTGCATGTTTACATAAAAAACAATGGAAAAGCAGAAACCTGTGCAGAACTATTATTGATATTTCATGTTTGCATGATGCAGAGTAGACTGGATAAAAGCTGCTGCTATTTTCATTTAATGTTAATAATCACCTACTACTACAACAGTCATTTTGAGTTTGAATTGTCTTTTTGACATGACTTGTAAAATCGAATGTCTACATTTTGGCTTATAAATATTTAGCATTTTTCTTTTATATTGTTTCTGAATCTGAACATTCAGGCAATGATATTTAACTTTCTGTAAAGATATTTAGGCTAACAAGTGAATTAGTTTTACGTTTACCCCATGTTGAACTTAATGTGTGCTGCATTTGGAACAGAACTTTCTTTAACTAGACGGTTAAAGGGTTAGTTCACCCAAAAGTGAAAATTCTGTCATTAATTACTCACCCTCATGTCGTTTCAAACCCGTAAGACCTTCGTTCATGATGCAGCTGACACAGAACAGCATACGTTGTTTACGTCCAGCGGATATTCTCCAAAATGGCACTACAGGGTGATGCGGAGGAGATGAATTGTTGAATAAAGTAGTTTTTTTTTTCTTCTTTTGCGCACAAAAAGTATTCTCATAGCTTCGTATAATTGTGGATGAACCACTGATGTCACATGGATTATTTTACCGATCTGCTTGTTACGTTTCTGGATTTGGGAACATTTCAGTTGCGTTGCTGTCTATGCAGGGTCAGACAGCTCTCAGATTCCATCAAAAATATCTTAATTTGTGTACCGAAGATGAACGAAGGTCTTACGGGTTTGAAACGACATGAGGGTGAGTAATTAATGACAGAATTTTCATTTTTGGGTGAACTAACCCTTTAATAAAGAGAATGTTACTTGAATCATGCTGCAGTTACATTTTGTAGTTAAACGCTTAAAAAAACAACAACAAAATCTTAAATCAGTCAAACGTTCTGGAAAAAAAAAAGATACAGCTGCAATATTAGGCACAGAATATCAAAGCCAACAAAAGCAGAACTGTATTAATCAACCAATACATGTACTAGCAGAACTTCACAGCTCTGATTAACTTTCATGGCAGATACATGATCACAATCAACAGAGCGAATGCTGCCCGCTTTAGTTCATTAATATCTGGATCATTGCATGAGAAACTCACCTGCATCCATAAGTGGCCGCTTGACTCAAACGGTACCTGACACACTAGGATTCACAGATTACTGTGAATACACAGATAACTGTTCACAGATAGAACCAGAGCATAAACGGCTCCCGTGCTGACGCATCTGATGGTGAACACCAGAACGGTTGTTTGTTCCGTGGCAAGTGAAACACAAAGACTACAACTGGAAGCACCGTATCCATAATGAAAGTTGATCAGTATGCAGCTGATTAAATCCATATGCAAATCTTATACCCTGTCGCTCATTAGAAGAGTGCCACTTTGAAGTTCTGCACACAATTAATTTCACACGGCCCTCTGAAAGCTTTCTGCATAATTCAACATTTTACATAAATATTTAACAGCTCATTAGCATATTAATTTGATAGCTTTTAGGAGAGAGGTACGGCTAGCACAACTGTGAGGGAGAAGTGAGACAAGGCAAATTACCAGCCGTGTGTGACTGTTTTAATTACTGGGGGGGGGCACTTCCCAGCATGCAACATGGCTACGATGAAAGAATGTGTCGTTAATGACCACCGACTCAAAACATCCTGGAGTCAAACTGGTCGAGCTCATTTAAACATCTCAAACAGGAATAACAAACCCTTAACTCAGCCACCGACTGAGATCAGCCACATTCATCACCTGGTTAATGTTGTACATTAACCAACAGTTTGAGAAGGGAAGCTCCTGATGATGATTGAATCAAGGGTGACCAAACGTCCTCTTTTTTCAGGACATGTCCTGCCCTTCTAAATTGCCTAAAATGTCCTGGTTTTGGCTTTGTTTTTCTATTGGCAGTCTCTCTACTAGTGGTCAACTGATATGGATTTTTTGATGGTTGATATCTTAGAGAGTAGGTGGCAGATGGCGATATATGATATCACACTATTTAACTTAAAGATAGTAAAATCACATGCATAACAATTGCTGAAATTAAATTGATATTTATTTTACATAATATTTACTAAATTATATAATCTGAAAAAAAAAAAAATATATATATATATATATTTAACGTGATTAAAAAAAACTAAAATAAAGAAATGTATTTAGATGGCAACTTCTTGATTCTATTATGGTATTTTTCACATATAAAGATAAATAAATAAATAAAACATTATAGTTTCATTATAGCTTCTCACATGCCATGATTCAATTATTTACATTGATTGCATGATCAACCTACCTTTCAGTCATTACCTTCAGCAATTATGAAAACAATAGGAAAATAAAGCCAACACCTGCATGGACATTTCAGCTAATTTAGAAATTCCAGCTGGGAAAAAGAAAGGCATTCATTAGGTTCACTGTTAGTAATAGTGCTCCTACTGAACTAACCACTAACTATCTACTATGTCCTGTGTAACTATTCCTGCAGCTCAGTGAAGAGTGTGCTTCACACTGAAGAAAAAGCTGAAGAAAGCTCCTCAGCCTGACATGCAGCAGCGTTCAAAGACTCACACACATCTAATGCACAGATCCGCAGCTCTGTTACACACACAAACTAAGTCATGTAGCTTTAACTCAAGCTGTTGCCATGACAACAACCCCACTGAGAAACAGACAGACGGAGAGAAAAAGACAGATGGATCTTTAACTCAAAAGAAAACTGTTGAGAGAAACACAATTTACATGCGGATGCTGCGAGGGCTTCAGTAAGCTAACTGATTATGCAAATGTTTTAATTAATTAAATTTTAAATAAGCAATTAATTAGCCTTTCAAACTATTGTATGCAGCACTGCATAATTTAAAGCAGATAAGTGGCATGAGGCACAACGTAGCAGAGATTAAGTATTCAGAGAACAGAAACATTTCAACTCAACTGCAGTCCAAACTTTTTTATTAGACCTCAAGAACTAATTAATATTCATCAGCTTCAATTAAGCCATCATCCTGTGCTCCAATTCTGCAATGCCTTTAATGTAATATTAGCAACTAAATTGAACTCTACATATATGACCAGATGAGAGCCAGTCTTGAATAACGAGCAGCTCAAACACCTATACAGACAGGCTGCACTGCTGCTACAGTGACATTATGGTGCAGTGATGGTGCAATGATGTCACAGTGATGCTACAGTGACAGTGCAGTGATGGTTGACTGATGCTACAGTGACGGTATCCACTTTATTTTGCAACGCAGAACTAAATACGATGACGTACTTCCTTATAATGTGTTAAACTTCTGTTTCGCTAGCCGGTAGGTAGGGAGCGTAAGGAGCGATTTGGTGGGAGCACACACAGAACACTATTAAAGGGGTCATATGATGCGATTTCAAATTTTCCTTTCTCTTTGGAGTGTTACAAGCTCTTGGTGCATAAAGAAGATCTGTAAAGTTGCATGCACTAAAGTCTCAAATCCAAAGAGATATTCTTTATAAAAGTTAAGAGTCAACCACGCCTACCTAAAACGCCTCGTTTAAAACACAAAGTAATGTTCTTTTTAGCAACATCATATGACCCCTTTAAACACCGTGATGGTAAATATTTACCACACCCACGGTGTATAACACAGTGGGAGGATGAAATTAAGAAGTGGCCTGCCATAACTTATGAGGACATTTTTAATTATTTCATTTTGTCGCTTGCAGTAGATGGGTCTTCAATGCGGAATTATAAAAGCACTGAGGCATATCAGTACCTGCACAGTGGAAAAGTCGGTCGAGTGCTGGTACATGAAACAGAAAGCGAATTTGTGTTTTTAAAAGCAGACGTGAATGCCAGTACTGTTATGTGATTGCATTGAGCAGGGCTGTACGTTAACTTTTTTTCACATAGCACTGGTGCTACAGAGGTTGAAAGTTTTGTAGCACAGGCCAAAAAGTTGTAGCACAAGTATATATCTTTATTATTAGAAAATAAGAACAAGGATATACATTACAAATACACGTAATATACAAATAAAACAAACAGTGCTTTATTTTTCAATTACAGTATTTAGCAGTAACATTCAAGAAACTGAATGAACAAATATTAAAATAAAACACTATCCCCCAGTTTCACAGATAAGGCTTAAGGCTAGTCCCAGTCTAAAATGCATGTTTGAGCTGTCTCAACTGAAAATATCTTGCTCTGACATATCTTAAAATATGTCACTTCCATTGTTCTGTCTCAAGATGCACACCTGTAACGTTTTCTTCTAAGGCATTTTTATAAAACCTGCTTAAATATCTTAATTTAACTAAGGCCTAGTCCTGGTTTAAAGTAAGCCCCGTCGGTGAAACCGGGCCTATATACACTATATACATCAATTATACTATTTTTAAAGCAACTGACTGATGATAAGTTCATCAGTCAAGAGCAGTGAGTGATTTTTTTTCTGTGTTTTGTTGTTTTATTAACATTAAAAGAATTTCCATTTGTTCCATGAGTTTTGAAAAAGTGACAAATTGACGATTTACCTAGCATTGCTACACTGTATCATTTTCAGTTGGGGGAAAAAAATCTAAATAAACTGCACCTTGGCATTTTAATTGTGTGTTTGTGTGTGTGCATATATATAAGGAGAAAGAAGTAATATAAGATCTTGAAAATATTTGTGTAAAAACAGTATATTTAATGGTCACACTGAATAATTCCAAACAACTACACAATGCATCCAAAATTACACCATTCTAAATTTCATATGAAATGCCATGGAATGTAGACTCATGTGCTCCTCCAATGTCTCAATCCAGTAGGAGATAATTCGGCTTACTACACTCTGGGACACATCAAAGCATTCAGCAAGATCTCCTTGAAGGAAATTCAACTTCAGCTTCATCATGGTCATAAGAATTTGATCCATTATGTGCATCTTAAAATTGGAAGTGTAGAATTGCTGGAGATATTTAACATGTTCTTTAAAGACACTAAGGGTGAAGCCAGTGCACAATAAAGAGCTAGTGTCATTCTTGAGAATGGCAAGGGCTAAGGGATCTTCACTGTGGAACTGTGTTGCCTTGTGTAACATTATTTTATCCCCTGAGGTATAAGTGTGGTCTGTCAATGCCCGGACCTCCCACTGAGTGCAGGCATCGCATCACTGTACTGAAGGGGCAGCTGCAATGGCTCCGTTTGTGCGGTCTCATGGTCACCTTGCTCATCATCTGCAAAACACAACACTGAAGTCAGATGCTCAGGAGAAAGAGATAAATTATCCACCCATTTACAAAAAGTATTACAAAAAAGTAGCAAAAGTATTTTTGTACTGTCCTTAACATAGCTTTAGTTTTGTTTTGACAGTCAG